AAGACTAGAAGCGGCTGATTAGGAGAACACATCATTAGCAAAGCTTATATGTTTGGTTACTTTGATAAAAATGTACTTTCTACATTCCAGCAACAGCTTTGAGTCAGGCATGCTGATGAACTATCGTTTGATTCAGTCAAAACACCCAGCTGCAACAAATATCTGGAGAAAACTGGGGCAACAATAAGAGGCAGCTAGAAGTTCGTTCTGAGTGACTGTCTTTCTCCACACTAGCTAAGGAAGGATAGCTGGACAGGGTCACCAAACCACCCAGCAGTAGAAAATGCTTTTTGCAGAAGAAAAGCATTTCAAAGAGCTCAGAGCTGGCTGTGTATTGCTGCTTGTATGGCTTTGTCTACAGCCAAACCAATCTCCTATTTACCAAGAGAAAAAAAAAAGGTCCATGTTCCCCTCTGCAACTACAGGCACAGACCTAGTGAAGGAGTTAAGATCCCTCTGCAATTGACCCTTCCCCAAGGTCAATTCCCTCAAGCCTCTTCCCTCAACATTGGGGAGGACAAGGTGGGACATCAGGGAGGGCACAGAATGAAAGGCTGTGGAAACAGGGTCTTGGGAAAGCAAAAGAAGTCCCATTCATTGGGAGGGAGGACAGATTAACTAATTGAGTACTGATCTTTTTCTGTAAATAACTTCTTTCCCTTTATTATCTCAAGCCATTCTTGCTCTTGCCAAGCTTTCTCCTGCAGTGTTTTAGCTAGATTTTGTACAATTGCTTTGGCTTAAAATAAGGTCAGCAGAACTGGTATCTGCTACTCTCTGTTTTGAGACACTTGGTGGATTTACATGTACTGAAAGAAAATTCCTGTACTATCCCCGTAACAAACTCCTTCAGGAAAAGAACATATAGTACAGGTAATTGCTCCAGCTGAGGAAATTCTCTTCCTTTTCTCCAGAAACATATGCTGATAACTTCAGCTTAGCTGCAGCTGTGCTGATAAGAGAGTCTAGAGAGGGGCTAGGGAGAAGCCAGGAGATAGTATAGTGAAGGTCTCTATGCAGGTGCCCAGGGAGGCACCTCATGATAAATCCTAATAGATCTCTACCATTCTGCAATATGGAAAACTAATCTTTATGGAAAGATAACACATTCTTATAGTACTGATTGAGTCACATGTGTCTGTGATAGATAAAGGTATGGTTCTACAGTTTACTGTTTGGAGAGGGTTGCTGCAGTTGAGGTCCTTTCTTACCTTGCTGTGCCTATGCTACTTGGAGATGGTGGCATTTTTCCTAAGATGTGCTTTAGTTTCTCTGCTCAGAACTTAGGGAACCTAGAAGTAGATGTTAAGTAAGGAATAAATCCTTCAAAGGTAACAGTCACCCTGTAAAATATGAACGTCTCATTCTTGATCATACTGCCTGCAAAGCAGACTGATGGAGCTTTGAAAGCGATGTAAATTAATTATAATTAAGCCAATTATGTTCATTTGCACAGTTACATCTTTTGAATTGCAGGACTGACACACATAATGGAGAATTTAAATTTTAAGCTCTATATTCTGAAGCCTTATCTGTGTATGAGTCATTCACATTGCTATAATACAAAACTTAAAGTTTGCTCATCTAATAGCTGAAAAAGCAAGATGTGTGCTTTTTGGGACTTTTTTTTTTTTTAATGTAAACTATCTCTTCTTCATGAATTTGGATGGCAGTACGGGCCCAGTTTTGCTTTTGGTGCTTCATTCTGCGTTTCTTGTGTTTCACTAGGACAACAAAACAGCTGAAAACCAAGTCAGTATTTTCACCTGAAAATTTCCATAGCTTAATGAGCAACTATTAAAATTGCCACTGACATAACTATTACCATGTGGGTCCTTGGTCTATATACATAACATATAGTGTCCTTGAAACTATTCTAAATTAAACCAAGGAAAGTTCCCACAATGAGAAAGAACAAAAATATCCCCAGGTAGGGCTACTCTACCGCTCTATTACTTGGAGCAGCATGGTAACAGATAGTGTTTGTATAACTCCACCTGCCCCACAGGGACTAAAACTCAGTGACACCTTAGCTTCAGTCTGCACCAATAAATCTAATCTGCCTGAAGATGATCAGCTCTAACATGATTGACTCTGAGTCTGTGGTAAAATATTTGTTAATCTCCAGGGAAGTAGATGCAGGTTGGGAGTAAGTGAACCTTTTTCTTCAAGCTCAAGAGGAATCTCAACTCACTTCCACAGTAGCAGCGACTTACAGCTTAGCGTATTTTTGTTTCTTTTAGTGGTGGCATTTACAGTGGTGATACATACGGGTAAGATATGTTTATTTGTATGAATTTGCTTCTATGGAGCAGTTAATATGAGCTATCAAAAAAGGATTGTTTAAGTGCTAGAACTTTACTAGCAATGCTTATCTGAAAGTGCTTCATAATTACCATTGAGTATTTTATTCAAAGCTCTATATCCTCAAATTAATTTAACTTATACCACTTTGAAATAGAAATGTGACGTGACTCTTCCCAGTGAAATTATAGCCAAAACTATTTGGATTTAGTGATACATTTTATTAATGTCTTTTGATAGTTTGTGGCACTGGTGACAATATGTTAGCTGAATTTTTTTTTCCTGCAGAGATCTGACAAATAGGTTTCTACAGGTATAAAACCATGCAGTTTTGGACCAACTCTTTAGAGTAACAGCACCAAGCTGTGAAGACAGAAAGTCAAACTGCTAGGAATTATGAGTAAAAAAATCAAGTGATACCTTTTTTCTGTTCCAGTGAATTCATTTTAACTTTCTTGTCTCTTGGAATTTAGAGATAAAGGAAACATTTGCATCATAACCCACATTAGCAGTTGTAGAATAAGAAGGGTTTTTTGCTATAAGTAGAAATACAGGCAAATACTGATCAACCCAATGAAGTTCAGTGTATTCTCAAATCTGCTTGAAACAAAGATGTTTTCTAATGTGTTATTTCTTTTCTCTGTAAGGAATTAGCATATGAAGTTTATTGAATATTTCCTTGAAAAGAAAATTCTAAAACACCAAAATTTTATATATATATATTTTTTTTTTTTTGGCAGGAGGGAAGTGCTTACTACTCTCCTAACACAAAGAAGTACTTCTCTAAAGAAAAAGTAAAAACATTTTCAAATAAGATTAGCATTTTTGAATAATAATTTAAGCTTATGCTCCATCTAACGTTTTGAACTAACAGTGAGCTTGCATCTCGTCCTTTTCCTGTTCTGCTTTCTGAAGTTCAATATTGTCCGTGTTTTTCCTTGTGACTGTAGCTTCTTGTTTAAATGTAATTTCACTAACAGAATGGGTCTCTGTTTATAGTTCTTTCTTAGGGACTGGAAAGTGCTGTTGGTTTTTGTCTTCTTATTAGGAATGTATAAGAAATTTAGAAGAGGGATTATCTCAGTGGAATTCTCCATAGAGCAAGTGTTTCCATCAAAACTAACATTAAGCAATATCCTTGCTAATGGACTTTGAAAAGAGAGAAAGGCGTTAACTAGAAGTGACAACTCCCGTTTGGGGCAGAGCTTAGGAGAATTCATGTGAGTGGCATGTGTTGCATTTTCCCTTAGAATAAAGGCTTTCCGCTTTTCCCTATTTATTCTGGGGCAGAAAATTTGGAGCTTTTGTAGTGGGTTAGACTGCTTCTTGATGAAAGAAATAGCTTGTTTGATTCACTGTATTATCTACTAAAACTGGTACATTTCAAAAATGGATGTAATTACAGCACATCTCAAATGGAGGTGACTAAATCACAGGTGGAAGGGCACAGAGGAAATTATGCTAGAAAAAATTTTCTCTGGAACATCAGTTCTATCAGATCCTGCAGTAAAGAAGAATGACTTTTATTTAGTTTTTTTCTTCAATAGTGTATTTCTATTATTCTTCACATTTTTGTTTCCACATTTTTTCCCTCTTATTTTCCCACCTTGGGAAGTCGTTTTCAACTCAATCATTAGCCCTAAAGTGTCTGAGTATTAGCCTAACTAATTAGACCATTGACAAAATCCTTTTATTTAATGCCTTCTATAACTTCTATTCTTTTATGTTAGAAACCAAGGCTGACAGTTCATAGTACCTATTTGCAGGCAACTTTGCCATAGAAACAATGACAGATATTTTTCCCATGCTCTAAATTCAAAGTTTTATATGTGTCTGTGTGAGCACATGTTTTCTCATCCTGAAATGCTATTTTCCTACATTCCTGAGGTAGCTGCTGACAAGTTGCTAATTACTTTCCAAGGCTCCCTAACCTATGTTATGTCAGCAAGCCACTGTAATGAGGAATTAGGGTATTTTTTCTCCCTACTGTTTCTGAATGTCTTTGAGGGCACAGAAAATTTAGCTCCTCCCCTCGAGTTCATCTCAACTGATTGACTCATTTTGAATACATATTGTTGTGCTGATGGGTGTTGGCTTTCAGATTAAAAAAAAAAAAAAGACTATTAACCTTATATGAGTACTGAGTACGTATGTAACTGTGTTTAGATAATGCCTGCATGATCTGTTGAGAACAGTAAGGTCAAAGTGGCCAGAGGAGGAAAGTCACAGAGGATGTAGATAAGGAGAGAATCTATGAAAAAATATTATTCCTATACAGTAGATACTTTTGGATGTCCCTCTCTTTCCCGCTTTCCGATTTTTTTTATACGTATATACACATTGACTACTCTTCATGACCAATGTTAAAGAAAACAAAGTGGCATGCTGTTATTGGAAATAAATTACCCTGTAAATTTTTTTGTATTTCAGTGAGTCACCGGATTGCTACAAAAGGACTGTGTTTATAAACTTGACTTCCCCTTACTTGAGAAACCATCAATTTTTATCTAAACTGTAACAAATGTTTAGTTTCAAACTGATTTGCCGAAATGAAATCGTTCTCTTCAGCCCTTTCCCAGTATTGCGGCTTTTAAAAA